AACCTGTCCCTCCCGGACCTCCCCCCCCCTCTTGGAAAAAAGGGATTTAATTGGGCACCGAGGAGCGTTTGGGGAGGGATTTGAAGTTTTAACCGGGTCCTGCCCAAAAGAAGCCTTTCGGGAGCTGTCATTTAGGGGCTCTTTTCTCGAAATTAAAAATATCACACGGCGCTCTGGGGGTTTACCCGACCCCAGTCCCCTCTCCCAGTAAACACCCCATCAAACCAGTATCTATAATGCCCTGAGAAAAGCTCCCAGTTTGGCAGAGGGTGCAGGAGTCTATGGGGGCCCTGTCCCAGCTGTGGAATCTTGAATTTTTGCATCCAAACAAGATCAGGCCCCCTGTAATTTAATTTAGTGGCAATTTCCAAGCTAGCCTTATCTGGATTTAATTCCTCTGGGTGTCAGCTCAAAAATCACTGAGAATAAGACCTAAATCCACCAACACCTTATTTCACCGTGGCTTTTTAATGTTTTTTTTTTTTGAAACCTGCTGGTTTCCAGGGCTGGGCAGCATTTGGGGTGCCCCAAACCACAATGGGGGGGGACACTCAATCCTTCTCCCCCCTCAAATCCTCATCTTTCTTTCCTCTCTGGGCATCCACTAAAAAGGTGAAATGACTCCTCCAACTCCAGCAGCAATTTCGTTTTTTTTTTTTGAAACCTGCTGGTTTCCAGGGCTGGGCAGCATTTGGGGTGCCCCAAACCACAATGGGGGGGGACACTCAATCCTTCTCCCCCCTCAAATCCTCATCTTTCTTTCCTCTCTGGGCATCCACTAAAAAGGTGAAATGACTCCTCCAACTCCAGCAGGAGGATCCCTTTGAGGATTAAAGCTTTTGCTAAACGTTTTAGAGGAAACAGTTTGGCAGAAGAACGGCCACAAGATTTGGAGATTTGGCCATTTGCAGGAGAAAACCTTGGGTTTGGTGCCTCCCCATCACCCTGCCTCCCTGTTCCTCCCATTCCCAGCCTTCCCTCCCTTCCTCCTCCTCCTGTTTTTTGCTCTTTGAGCCCAAATCCTCCCCAGGTACCTGCCAGGTGGCCTCATGGCTCCTTCCATCCATCCCTTGGGCTGCGTTTGGACCACGCTGTTCTCCTGAACCACTCCAGACCTACAGACACCTGAGGAGAGAGGGGAGAGGGACTTGTTATATCCCACGACTTCATCCCCTGGGACAGGTTGATTCCCCCTCTGCCTCCTTTTCTTTTTTTTTGTCCTCTCCCAACCTATATTTGTAAAAAATAGCATTTCCCCAATTCAGCAGACTCGATGAAGTTCAACCGTACAACTTTCTGGCCCAACGGTTGACATAAATATGTCAAAATATGGCAAAAGGGACCAATACAGGGAGCATTTGGCCCCGGAGAGGAGAAGTTGAGCTGGGAAGGGAGGAGAAGTTGAGCTGGGAAGGCAGGAGAAGGGTTTCCGTGTTTGCACAAGCGCAGGGATGTGCGAGGGCAGAGCTGGGCGCGGCGCCGCCGATAATACACTGCAATAATCTCACCTCCCTCCTCTTGCTCACGCCGGCCTCGTGGCTCAGCCCAAGGGCTCCTGCTGAAGTTTCCTGGCAAACCCCATCTCCAGAGAGGAGGAACGTGCCACTAATGAGGTCCCCCCGAGCTTCCTTTTGGTTTCGGGGGGTGATTAAAGTGAAATTGTGAGTTGGGCGCGTTGGGTTTTCTCTTGGCTCTTGCGTTGAAGCTCTTCTTGTCTACGTTGAAGCTCTTCTTGTCTGTGTTGGAGCTCGTCCTGAAAACGAGGAGGGTGGTTGAGGTCGTGGTGAGGACAGGGAGAAGTGGTGACCTCATGTGCCGAGCTCACCAGGGTAAGAGAAGGGGGGGAGGAAAAAAACCACATCATTTTTCGGCACCTCGGTGCCGCGAGGAAGGAGGCTCCAAACTGGGTTGGCCCATCCCAGTAGGGACCGTGGCCAGTCCTGACTGGAGATTTCCAAGCTCTGGGGGAAGGAACGGGAACATCTGCGGGGTGTAATGATGGGGCTGTTTCTCATCCCTCGGGTTTGCTCACGGGGCTGTGGTTTTTTTCCATGTTTTCTTTATTTTTTTTATTTTTTTTTGCATGGACGAGTAACACGAGCCTCAGTTACGGGGCTTAAATTCTGACTCTCTAAGGTAAAACAGCCTTTAACTCAACCTGCAGGACAGGAAGCTAATTACCAAAAAGGCATCCGAGCTTTCAAAATTAATATTTAATGTTAGGATTCAGCCAAACGGCTTGTCTGGTCTTGCTCCCAACAATGCCCAGGGCGTCAAAGAAATGTGAAAAGCCTTTCCTGAAACTCCAACTTCTCTCTTCCCATCGAGGTGTTTTTTGTTTTTTTTTTTTTTCTACTGGTTTTGATAAGTTTTGAATCCCAGTCTTGCTCCAGAGCTGGAAGGAGAGAGGGGAATCGGTTCCCTCGTCGTGGAGGTGACTTCCCTGGTGATGCTCTGGGTGCTGAGCCCCACAACTGCTGTGGGGCCCCAAAATTGCAGGGTTTTTGGCCACTCCTGCCCTTCCAGCCCCACAGCTGTGTGTGCCAGACCTCCTGCTGTTCTCTTTTTAGGGGTGAGGAGTCTTTTTTTGCCCTGTTCTACCCTCTCTTTGCCTCTTGAGTCCCCACTGAGGTGGAGGGCTGGGGAAGGGTGGTGCAGAGAGTCGCTTTCGGAAGAAGCTGCCCATGAAATTAGCTTTTTAAGCAATAAAAGTGCTGAGGAAAAATGAGCTGTGTGTGCTCGGTGACCCAGGAGCAGCCATCCTGGGGGCTGGAGCAGCTGTGGAGGGCTCAGAGTCTTCCTCGGCGTGTTGTTTTGGGATGGTCTGATAAACCCCTCCGTGCTGCTGCTTTGGTTTTTTTAACGTTTCTGAAAGGGGGGGGGGGACGTCTGGGACAACAGAAATAGTTTTGTCTGTCGTCCCCACGAAACCACGTGGGCTGGTGAGGGAGCAGCTCTTATCAGATCTGGCAAACCTTATCTTCCTGCCGCCAGCGTTCAAGGTCTTGGTGCATCTTCAGGGCGGCTTTGAGGGCGGCTGAGAACTTCGGCCCGTGTGATTTTGAGCTCTGTCTGGGGGACAAAAGTGGTTTCCGTTGCTCGTCTGGGTTGTTTCTGTGTGTTTGAAGCTCTTCCCCATCTCCTTTGCGTTACCGTATCTCTCCGCATCTCCCCAGCTCGTTAACAGTTGGGGGACAACGAGGTACTAACGAGACTCCCCGTCCCTCTTTTAGGACAGCAGCGATGAAGCACTGTTTCTACAATGAGACCGTGGGGTTCTTCTACAACAACAGCCGCAAAGAGTTGACCACCTACTGGAGGACAAAGGATGTGCTGGTGGTGGCCCTGGGCCTGACAGTGAGTGTCATCGTGCTCCTGACCAACCTGCTGGTCATCACCGCCATCATCATCAACCGGCGTTTCCACTACCCCATCTACTACCTGTTGGGCAACTTGGCGGCCGCCGACCTCTTTGCGGGCATCGCCTACATGTTCCTCATGTTCCACACGGGGCCCAGGACAGCGGAGCTCTCCCTGAAGACCTGGTTCATCCGTCAGAGCCTGCTGGACACCAGTTTGACAGCCTCTGTGGTGAACCTGCTGGCGATCGCCGTAGAGAGGCACCAGACTGTGTTCACCATGCAGTTACACAGCAAAATGTCCAACCAGCGCGTGATGATCCTCATCTTCTGCATCTGGGTGACGGCCCTGCTCCTGGGGCTCATCCCCTCCTACGGTTGGCACTGTCTCTGCGCCCTGGAGAAGTGTTCCAGCATGGCACCCCTCTACAGCAGGAGCTACCTGACCTTCTGGGCCATCTCCAATCTGGTCATCTTCCTCATCATGGTGGTTGTCTACACGCACATCTTCATCTACGTCAAGAGGAAGATGACGCGGATGTCCAAGCACACCAGCTTCCACCCCCGCTACAAGGAGACCATGATCAGCCTCGTCAAGACGGTCACCATTATCTTGAGTAAGTCCCATCTAAAGGAGGGTTTGAGTAACTCCTAGAATCTGTTTGGGCTGGGAGGGACCTTTAAAGGTCATCCAGTCCAACCCCCCTGCCATGAGCAGGGACAAAAGCAGTTTGGCTTTGTACATACACATCCTTCTGAAGCCAGTCTCCAGTCTCAAAAGCCCCAAGTCCCTCAGCCTTTCCTCAGCAGAGAGATGCTCCAGCCCCTCATCATCTTCGTAGCCCTTTGCTGGACCCTCTCCAGCAGTTCCCTCTCCTTCTGGAACTGGGGAGCCCAGAACTGGTCCCAGTGCTCCAGATGGGGCAGAGGTGAAGGATGACCTCCTTTGAGGTTCTCCATGCTCTCCTTGATGCCCCTCAGGATGCCATTGGCCTTCTTGGCCACCAGGGCCTGTTGGTGGCTTGTGGGCATCGTGTTGTCCCCCAGGACTCCCAGGTCTTTCTCCTCAGAGCTGCTCTCCAGCAGGTCACCCCCAACCTGTCCTGGGGCAGGGGGTTGTTCCTCCCCAATAATCTAGGGGGCAAGGTGTGCTCTGGTCCAAGCACCTGCTCCTTCTGGTGGAGAACTTTGTGCCCCAGAGCCACCCAAATGTGAGAATGGTGGGTGCCCAATGTGATGCCCCAAGGTTTCTTAGAAAACATTCCTTGCACCATGGATGAGGATGATCAAATTGGAGTAGGCAAGTGTGGCTCATTTGCATATATACACAGCTGGTGACGTCACGCCAGGTACAGGTGGTTTGATTGTTATTAGTATTTAACCAACCATTACGGTGTAGAATTAGGACCAGGGAGATTATAGTTTCTTTGGCAAAACACGCTCTTCGTGTTCCGTGTGAGATTCCAGAGGGATGAAACATTTAAACCAGCAGGGTTTGTAATCACCCATCTCTTTTTACTGATCCAAGCGGTTCTTAAATGGGATTAATTACAAACTCTGGTTTGATTATGGCATATAAAATGAAACCAGCTCCATCCTGGGATGTGTGGGGCTGGGGAAAGGCGAGGGGTGAAGGTCCTTGGGACAACCTGGGAGGACTGGGAAGGTTTGTTTCTCTGGTCCCTGAGGATCCTGGGGTGGTGGTTTGGGTGGGTTCCTGAGGAACTCCATGTTTTGGGGACCCTGGATGAATTGTGGGGGGGGGACAAGCTCCTCCATCTTCCCCCACTTCTGGTTAGGAGGGACGAGGGGGGCTGTTACTGATGGGGTTTGGGAATATCTGACTGGAAGTGCAGGTACTTTGCCCCCAAAAAAAGAGGATTTGATGTGTTTCCTCCATGGAAGAGCAGCGTGGAATCGGGAGCTCTAATCAGGCTCCTTGATTAAGATCAAGGATCCTCAATTAAGATCAAGGAGCAGCACTTGGTGCATCCTCTGGTGAAGGAGGGAGAGAGGTTTGGGGCAGAAGTCAGGAGGTGATGGGCGAAGAATGAGGGAGTTGCATCCAAATTCCTTCCTGATAACGGAAACAAAAGCACTGAACTCTGTTGGCATTGGGGTTTTTTTGAGCCCTTCAGATGCCAGGGGGGTAAATAACATCCCTGGGGGCTCTCAGCTCTTGGGCTGGAGCAGGAGATCTCCAGCAGAGTGTAAACTGCCCCGTCTGTCTGTCTGTCTGTAGTGCAAATAGGGGCAAATCAGTGACTGGAAGGGTATTTACTGGGATATGTGTTGTCCTACCCTGTTCTGCACTTACTGGGAGATCCTGGTGCTTCCAACAGCCTGGCACCTCGATGCTTCTTTAATCTGCTTTCACCTCCTGCTTTTAATGGTCCTGCAACCTTTAAAGAAAGAAGAAATAAATCAAAGCCTGCTCCTCGGATCTTCCGCAACCCGAGGCTCTCGTCTCTGGGCTTACGGTCACAACCCTTTGCTTGCAAATCTTTTCCTGATAAGAGCAGAATTTGCTTGCTCAGGGAAACCTTGTGGCTGCAAACAAGAGCTCCCACTGGTAAAGGGGGTGGGGAGCAATGGGGGGGGCTCTTAAGCTGCTTGGTGTGTCCTGCTCGGGGGCTTGCCGGGTCCTGTCGTGACTTGTGAGCGCTGAAACTGGAGTTTTCTGCCCGTTCCTGCCTTTCCTGGGGTGTTTTCTTCCTTTTCTTGCAATCTCTCCATCTCCTGTGTGCAGTTGGGAGGTCGTTACTGCTCCAGTGCAGCACAGAGGGTCAGAGAGGCTGAAAAATGATTTGTTTTGTGTATTTTACACAGTGTACAGCGGAGAAAAAAGTTGTTTTGTTGCCCCCTTCCTTCCTGGAGGGTGTCGGAAGGAATCCTTAATTTTTCTGGAGTTTCCCAATATCGAGGGGAAGAGGGGCAGCAGGATGGGGATGCTGGAAAAGAAGGAAAATGTGATTTACACTCGGTGCATCGCCTTGTTTTTGGGGGATCCTTTTCCTCTTGGTGTCCCCTCCCCATCCTGTCTTGGTGAGGGAAAAGCCGGGGTGAGAGGAGGCTTTGGAAGAGCTGCTGTGACTTCAGAGGGAATTGGGACTGGTGTGTGGGTAGGGAGGAACAGAATGGGGAAAATTGAGGGGAAAATGAGTTTATCAGGCCTTTGGGACTTTGGCAGCCCCTTCCTCTGCAGGATGGTGAATCAGTGGTTGTTCTGCACAGGTCCCTTGCACGGGAGGAAACTCCTCAACTTGAGGAGATAAATCCCTTCTCGTTTGGACTCGGCGTAGAGAAAGCCGTGGCTGCAGAGGGTGTGTTTTTTTTTCTTTCTTTCCCCTCCCTGCAAAAGGCCTGGTGTCAAGCCTTCTCCACCCTGGTTTCCCCGGCCTTCTGCAAACTTGGACTCTGCACAAGAGGAATATTTTGTGCCTTATGCATCAGAGGGTGTAGCTGCTGGGGAGGAGGAAGCCGAGGGTGCGGTGGGACTTCACTGCACCGACTCGAGGAACCGCCGGGTGATAATTTCCCCAGGTCCAGGGCATCAGGAACAGGTCTAGGACCTGACCTGGAAACCAGTGAGGAGTCCAAAGTCCACCTGAAAACCAGTGAGGAGTCCAAAGTCCACCTGGAAACCAGCAGGGAGTTTTCCCACAGGAGGGTTGGGTGACACAAGTTGTGATGGGGACCACACCACAGGGCTGAGTCCTTAGTGACCACGTTCTCTTCGATTATTATGAGTTCAAACTTCTCTCTGACTACTTTAATTTCCATTAAGGAACAAGGAAATCAGCTGGATTTACAGGCAAAGGCTCAAAACTTTAGGTACTTCTTTGGGGTTTTTTTTTTTCCTCTTATTTTTAATATTCTCCTCATTTTATTTCGTGCCACCGGGAGCCAGTCTGTAGACAATCTGGCTTTCCTCGTGGATGCTAAAAACCTGGCTAAGAATGAAGCTACATCACTTAAAAAAAAATAAAAATGGAAGTCCCTTTTCTTGCAGGGTGAAGGTAGAATTTTTGGAGCTTCCTTCATGACAGCTGGGAATCAATCTGGTGCATTTGCTAAATTTAAAGGAGGTGAAGCCAGTGGGGAAAGCTGCCTGGGCCAGATGCTGGGGCTGCTGTGCCAGCTCTCCTGGGAGCACCAGCTGCTTCCATAAAAAGGGTTACACCTGCAGAAATCAGGGGGACACCCTCCAAAAACCCAGGAGATCCCTCCCCAGTGTTGCTTTGACTCTTCACTGCTCCAGCATCTCACTCAACACCTTTCAAATTCAGCCCTCGGTCGGTGCAGCTCCTCTTTCCCGGCAGATTTTTGGTGTTGGGTGTTTTTTTTTCAAGCAAAGAGTGTAGTTGCAAAGGTGGTTGTTGGGGTTTTGTTTTTTTTCCCAGCAAGTTTGGTTCCTTTCCACCCTTTCCCAGCAGCTCCTGTGCTTCCAGATCCAACCTCACGCCCCGACCTCCAGGAGCACGGACGGGGTGAGGGCTCCGTTTGCGTCAGCTTGAAAAATCATGACCATAAAAAGAGGGTTTAGGAGCCTCTGGGCACCTCCCTCTCCGTCATGCAAAACAGCAATTAGCCTTTTTGCCAACGAGCTTTGCAGGTGGTGGCCAGAGGAGAGGATCAGCCCAGCTGAATCAGTGGTGGAGCCCGTCCAGCTCCTTCTTGGCCCCTTTGGCTCTTTTCTACTCAGCCTGTGGCTGGGAGAGAGATTTCACGGGTCATCCAAAGGCTTGGCCAGGACTTTTCTTAATTAAAGCCCCCTTAAACTCCAAGATGATTTATTTCAAGATGTATCACTCTCTTTCCCAATTTTGTGCCCTTTTTGGAGGGATTGGCACGTAAATAGGAAATAGAAACACTTGATCTTCACTCTAAATGCGATGATGGGGGTGAGGGGAGGCAAGAGAAACTTGGGACTGTTGTTCTGAGTGAATGGGGGGAAAAAAACCACCTATTTCCTCCACTTTAGGGTTTGCTGGTTGAATCCTTGGTCTTCCCCCAAAGCAAAAATACAGAGTGAAATAGGGGGGGAAAAAAACCAACTCCAATTTAACTTTTTTCACCAGATAAACCACCAGAGATTCCACTGAGCATCTTTTTGGTGAGTGACCAGGGCAGGGCTAGGAACCTGCTGGTTTTTCCTCTCTCTAATAGTTTTTTTTTCCTGTTCCCAGGTGCCTTTGTCATCTGCTGGACCCCGGGCCAAGTGGTGCTCCTCCTGGATGGTTTGGGCTGCAAGAGCTGCAACGTCCTGGCGGTGGAGAAATACGTCCTTCTGCTGGCAGAGATCAACTCCTTGATAAACGCCATCGTCTACTCTTACAGGGACAACGAGATGCGCAGCACCTTCCGCAGGATCCTCTGCTTTGTCTGTTACAGGAATTCCAAATACACCCCCACGGTGGTGAAGCTGAACACCACGGACCGCAGAACGCTCTCTCAAAACGGGCACTTCACGGTGGATTCCTCTATTTAAGCTCTCACTCATCTACCACTTTCCGAGCGGAGGAGCAGAGCCTCCTTCCAAAGCAGCAAAGACTCCTTTATTATTTTTTTTTTTTAATTTTTTTAACGTGCTCAAGCCTAACTATTTCCCTAGAATCCTTTGTCCGTGGGTAAAGGGACGAGATGCTTTTAAAGGAACTGCTGGATGGCGCGTGACTTTAAGTACTTTGAGTAGTGTTCTGATTAAAGACTGCTCTTTCTAACGCCAAGTCGCTTTAATTTCACAGAAAGCCAGAACCACCCCACGTGCAGTGGGAATCTTGCAACCAACAATATGTTTTTCTTCTGGTAATTCAGTGTTACAGCCCTTGGAAAGAGCAGAAGAGCCCGGATCTGCTCTAGTGTTACCCCCAGGGTCGTATTCGTGTCGCTTTCCACCCTCTCCAGATTCTCCCCGAGGCTTCTGCCCAGAGGAATCGGTGTCAGTTGCTTCTCCAGAAGCAGATTCCCCACTCTCTGGTGTCTGTTGTTGAATTTCCAAGGTTTTTTGGGTTGTTTTAGGAGCACCTAATTATTTCCTAAGAGGGAGAGCGGTTTTTAAGGAGCTTTGGGTTTCACTAAGCGATACCATGTGGTGTTCACAAGTTTGTTGCTTATTCATAAACGTGGGGTGAGTCATTTTCCCTCTAAAGGATCTCTCTAAAGCATCCACTAAAGCATTTCTTGGCGCTGGAAGCCTGTTGAATTTCCAAGGTTTTTTGGGTTGTTTTAGGAGCACCTAATTATTTCCTAAGAGGGAGAGCGGTTTTTAAGGAGCTTTGGGTTTCACTAAGCGATACCATGTGGTGTTCACAAGTTTGTTGCTTATTCATAAACGTGGGGTGAGTCATTTTCCCTCTAAAGGATCTCTCTAAAGCATCCACTAAAGCATTTCTTGGCGCTGGAAGCCCTTGGGGATGGGTTTAGGTTGGATTCCAGGGCAATCAGCGTTTTGCTTTGGGTTTGTCCCTTAATACTCACCCTCTCCCACGATAACAGGCTGCTCACAGGTCCTCTTTCTCTCTCTCTCAGCAAAGCACCACCAGAAATTAGCAGTATTAATTAATATTAGGGCACATTGGTTCTAGTTTTGGGAGTTAAGTCCGTTGGCTGCATCCGAGACCCGATGTGAAGCGGCGTTTTGGTGGTGAGGGCAGAGTTTCTGCTCCAGGAAGGATATTCCCAGCTGAGAAAATGGAAATAAATCTCTGGGTTTTCTTCACCTTCTGGCTGTTAAGTTTGGACCAGTGGGAATGCACTCGTGTCCGTCCAAACCCCAAAGTCAGTGGGTTCTGTGAGAGCAGAGAGAGGCACTAACGGAAGGCAGGGTTGGAAATATTGTCGAAATTTACCATTTCAGGGGGTTTTTATAAAATAAAATAGCCCTTTTCTGTCAGATGATCCGCTCCCTGACTGATCCCCCTCAGCTGCCTTTGCAGAGAAGATGTTTTACTGGAGGCATTTTGACTCAAATGTGTATTTATGGACTTTTTCTTGCAGAAGGAGGGCAGGAAGAGATGGTGTTAAGGTGACAATCCCCTATGTTTTACTGGAGGCATTTTGACTCAAATGTGTATTTATGGACTTTTTCTTGCAGAAGGAGGGCAGGAAGGGACGGTGTTAAGGTGACAATCCCCTAAACCACTCTTGGAATATGGTCCCTGTCTCCGTGTCCCAGAGACTCTTTCAATAAATATGTTGTCCTGGGTTTTAGGAAAAAAAACCAAACACAACAAACAACCAATATTTGGAATTTTTCCCTGTCTCCCAGCTCTGAGATAAACCCCATCCTCCCGTTGCGTGGTGTGATGCTGGCCAGGAGGGATAATCCTTGTGGCTGCTGTCACTTGTGTGATGACACGGACAGGGCTCTGTGTGTGTGTCTGGAGGGGTTACAACCTCCAGAAAGATGGGGAAAAAGACTGGGAAAAGGAATTTTCAGCCTCGGTTCGGTGTTTGCAGGCACCAGACTTGGCTGGTTTGGGGAGATTTCACCCCGTTAAAGCACAGCCTTAGAGAAGGTATAATTTTATTTTATTTCAGAGGGAATTGGGACTGGTGTGTGGGTAGGGAGGAACAGAATGGGGAAAATTGAGGGGAAAATGAGTTTATCAGGCCTTTGGGACTTTGGCAGCCCCTTCCTCTGCAGGATGGTGAATCAGTGGTTGTTCTGCACAGGTCCCTTGCACGGGAGGAAACTCCTCAACTTGAGGAGATAAATCCCTTCTCGTTTGGACTCGGCGTAGAGAAAGCCGTGGCTGCAGAGGGTGTGTTTTTTTTTCTTTCTTTCCCCTCCCTGCAAAAGGCCTGGTGTCAAGCCTTCTCCACCCTGGTTTCCCCGGCCTTCTGCAAACTTGGACTCTGCACAAGAGGAATATTTTGTGCCTTATGCATCAGAGGGTGTAGCTGCTGGGGAGGAGGAAGCCGAGGGTGCGGTGGGACTTCACTGCACCGACTCGAGGAACCGCCGGGTGATAATTTCCCCAGGTCCAGGGCATCAGGAACAGGTCTAGGACCTGACCTGGAAACCAGTGAGGAGTCCAAAGTCCACCTGAAAACCAGTGAGGAGTCCAAAGTCCACCTGGAAACCAGCAGGGAGTTTTCCCACAGGAGGGTTGGGTGACACAAGTTGTGATGGGGACCACACCACAGGGCTGAGTCCTTAGTGACCACGTTCTCTTCGATTATTATGAGTTCAAACTTCTCTCTGAGTACTTTAATTTCCATTAAGGAACAAGGAAATCAGCTGGATTTACAGGCAAAGGCTCAAAACTTTAGGTACTTCTTTGGGGTTTTTTTTTTTCCTCTTATTTTTAATATTCTCCTCATTTTATTTCGTGCCACCGGGAGCCAGTCTGTAGACAATCTGGCTTTCCTCGTGGATGCTAAAAACCTGGCTAAGAATGAAGCTACATCACTTAAAAAAAAATAAAAATGGAAGTCCCTTTTCTTGCAGGGTGAAGGTAGAATTTTTGGAGCTTCCTTCATGACAGCTGGGAATCAATCTGGTGCATTTGCTAAATTTAAAGGAAGGGAAGCCAGTGGGGAAAGCTGCCTGAGCCAGATGCAGGGGCTGCTGTGCCAGCTCTCCTGGGAGCACCAGCTGCTTCCATAAAAAGGGTTACACCTGCAGAAATCAGGGGGACACCCTCCAAAAACCCAGGAGATCCCTCCCCAGTGTTGCTTTGACTCTTCACTGCTCCAGCATCTCACTCAACACCTTTCAAATTCAGCCCTCGGTCGGTGCAGCTCCTCTTTCCCGGCAGATTTTTGGTGTTGGGTGTTTTTTTTTCAGCAAAGGGTGTAGTTGCAAAGGTGGTTGTTGGGGTTTTGTTTTTTTTCCCAGCAAGTTTGGTTCCTTTCCACCCTTTCCCAGCAGCTCCTGTGCTTCCAGATCCAACCTCACGCCCCGACCTCCAGGAGCACGGACGGGGTGAGGGCTCCGTTTGCGTCAGCTTGAAAAATCATGACCATAAAAAGAGGGTTTAGGAGCCTCTGGGCACCTCCCTCTCCGTCATGCAAAACAGCAATTAGCCTTTTTGCCAACGAGCTTTGCAGGTGGTGGCCAGAGGAGAGGATCAGCCCAGCTGAATCAGTGGTGGAGCCCGTCCAGCTCCTTCTTGGCCCCTTTGGCTCTTTTCTACTCAGCCTGTGGCTGGGAGAGAGATTTCACGGGTCATCCAAAGGCTTGGCCAGGACTTTTCTTAATTAAAGCCCCCTTAAACTCCAAGATGATTTATTTCAAGATGTATCACTCTCTTTCCCAATTTTGTGCCCTTTTTGGAGGGATTGGCACGTAAATAGGAAATAGAAACACTTGATCTTCACTCTAAATGCGATGATGGGGGTGAGGGGAGGCAAGAGAAACTTGGGACTGTTGTTCTGAGTGAATGGGGGGAAAAAAACCACCTATTTCCTCCACTTTAGGGTTTGCTGGTTGAATCCTTGGTCTTCCCCCAAAGCAAAAATACAGAGTGAAATAGGGGGGGAAAAAAACCAACTCCAATTTAACTTTTTTCACCAGATAAACCACCAGAGATTCCACTGAGCATCTTTTTGGTGAGTGACCAGGGCAGGGCTAGGAACCTGCTGGTTTTTCCTCTCTCTAATAGTTTTTTTTTCCTGTTCCCAGGTGCCTTTGTCATCTGCTGGACCCCGGGCCAAGTGGTGCTCCTCCTGGATGGTTTGGGCTGCAAGAGCTGCAACGTCCTGGCGGTGGAGAAATACGTCCTTCTGCTGGCAGAGATCAACTCCTTGATAAACGCCATCGTCTACTCTTACAGGGACAACGAGATGCGCAGCACCTTCCGCAGGATCCTCTGCTTTGTCTGTTACAGGAATTCCAAATACACCCCCACGGTGGTGAAGCTGAACACCACGGACCGCAGAACGCTCTCTCAAAACGGGCACTTCACGGTGGATTCCTCTATTTAAGCTCTCACTCATCTACCACTTTCCGAGCGGAGGAGCAGAGCCTCCTTCCAAAGCAGCAAAGACTCCTTTATTATTTTTTTTTTTTAATTTTTTTAACGTGCTCAAGCCTAACTATTTCCCTAGAATCCTTTGTCCGTGGGTAAAGGGACGAGATGCTTTTAAAGGAACTGCTGGATGGCGCGTGACTTTAAGTACTTTGAGTAGTGTTCTGATTAAAGACTGCTCTTTCTAACGCCAAGTCGCTTTAATTTCACAGAAAGCCAGAACCACCCCACGTGCAGTGGGAATCTTGCAACCAGCAACGTGGTTTTTCTTCTGGTAATTCAGTGTTACAGCCCTTGGAAAGAGCAGAAGAGCCCGGATCTGCTCTAGTGTTACCCCCAGGGTCGTATTCGTGTCGCTTTCCACCCTCTCCAGATTCTCCCCGAGGCTTCTGCCCAGAGGAATCGGTGTCAGTTGCTTCTCCAGAAGCAGATTCCCCACTCTCTGGTGTCTGTTGTTGAATTTCCAAGGTTTTTTGGGTTGTTTTAGGAGCACCTAATTATTTCCTAAGAGGGAGAGCGGTTTTTAAGGAGCTTTGGGTTTCACTAAGCGATACCATGTGGTGTTCACAAGTTTGTTGCTTATTCATAAACGTGGGGTGAGTCATTTTCCCTCTAAAGGATCTCTCTAAAGCATCCACTAAAGCATTTCTTGGCGCTGGAAGCCCTTGGGGATGGGTTTAGGTTGGATTCCAGGGCAATCAGTGT